AGACCGAACTGTGTCGTACTCAGGTGGGAGACCAGTAAGAAAGCTCATAATAGCCATTTGCTCCCGTTGCTTATGCTGAACCTTCAAATCAGCAGTAAGAGGCATTAACACATTCAGTTCTTCATACATCCTTTTAAAGTCCATAAAGTAGGCTTTGAGAGGACGATCCTGTTTTTCAGAACGATAGAAAGCTTTGCAGACCTCGTAAACACGAGAGATATTTCCTTTTCCTGAATACAAAAAATCTAAATAATCCATTAGTTCCTTAACCAATTCACAGTGATTAATAGAGGGAATAATCTCACTGTCAATGGAATTACGGATCTGGAAAAATAGCCGTGCATCATCCCGCAACCAGGTCTTTTTGGAATCAGTTGTTGGAGGATCATCAGTCAGATGGTCTTCCTTCTCAATGCTCCGCAGATAGAGGCGAATGGTTTTACTCCAATCCAAATAATTTACCCAAGTCAACTTGTGATCAGTAATTTTAGTAATAGTTGGGACAAGCTCCGAGACAGATTTAATTTCCGCCATAGATGAAGTGCACTAACCAAAGGGAATGCGAAAGAGTGTTACACAGGAACACAAAGCACGATACCTGGATTACCTAATGAATACCAAGGCAGTGAAAAGGCCAACAGCTACACAAGGAGCTGCAAACAGAACTGAATTGCACAAACAGCGTGCCGGAGATGCGCCAGAAACGAAACAGAACGCCAGAAAGTAATAAACCGTACGGACTGTACGGACGCCGAGTGAACAGTGCAGAGCGCACTGACTGTACGGACGCCGCCGGAAAGTCGATGAACAGTGCAGGCGTACGGACTGTACGGACGCCGAGTGAACAGTGCGGCGGCGGTACTGTAGCAACCGAAAATTAACACCTAGAGAGAAATTCCCACGCTCTGATACCATGTAGGAAATAGAATAATATGGAAAATAATTCTCTTGTATTTCATTGATCAGAATATACACATATATATACAAGTGAGAGGAGCCTCTGCATTAATGGCCCATTATGATAATATCATATCCTATCAAATCCTAATCATAATTACATAATATTTACATATCAAATCATATCATATCTCTACACTTTAAATAGTTAATTTAGCTTAATTAATTTTTTCAGACTTATAGCATTTAGTGCTCAAGCCCACCGAAGATAAAAAAAGAAACATCAAAAGGACAGGGGATAGCATTAAATATTAACTATCTTATCTATACGGTGTTATTCTAGGAAGAGAATGATACAAGTTTAAAGGGGTGTTTGGATACCCTAAGATAACTCCTTCACATATTTATCTCGTACATTGTAAAATTATTTTTAAAATTATAGTTTGGTTTCCATCAAAACACTCCCTAAATATCAAAATATGAAAGTTTTAACCTTTGCGTTCTTGGCTTGACAGAGAATGATCTTAAATATAAGGTGACCTAAATATATTCTCAATTATACATATAAAATATTGCCTTAAAACGCGTAACAAAAATATGCCAAGGAAACATTAAAAGGGGCCTTGTATGTTAAAAAAGAAAAAAAAAATAAAAATTTTAGGATGCTCTGCTGAGCTTTCTAAAAAGTGAAAAAAAAAACTTTTGGAACGGAATTATATAAATTGGCTACGGGCTTGACTCACAAAATCCTTTAATTGAGATTGTGTGTTTTTCGTAGGTGAGCATAAACCTCATTTTCGGCCATTTTCCGGGCGTTTTCTAAATTCTATCTCCCTTCGTGTTTGAAATGATTTTATTACTTTAATACTATCTCCGTCTTTAGTATAAGAATTTGATACTTCTCCGATTCTTAATATAGGACCTGATTGTTAAATTGGTTTTAATCATAAATATAAGATCTATTTATCATATTTATTAATTTTTTCTAAATTATCCCTATAAATACTTTCTCAGCCATAATCGAGTATAAGAGGAAGGAGGATATTAAGAAAGATGATTATGGTATTTTAGGAAAAACATGTCACATTTCTTATAATTAACTAACTTAACTAACTTTCTTAATATAATCAAATTAATTAAATGGGTTATATTAAGGATAGGGGAGTATTTAATCTGGTTTCAAATATAAAATTACAATTCATTTTATCTCTCATATACACATACTACCTCGGGTCCTATTTATAATAGTTAGTTAACTAATTTAAGTAGATTAAAAAAAAGAAATTAAGTTAGTTATTTGTAATAAATATGTGTTGTCTTTCGTAAAATATCTTTATTAATAAAGTGTATTGGCTAATTAAAACTATTATTATTAGAAGGATTATTTTGAAAAGAATACATAAATATGAGAGATAAAGTGAATATTTAGAAAAGACAACACATATTTATTACAAATGACTAACCCAACTTTTTTCTTTAATATCCTCAAATTAGTCAACTAGCTCTTATAACTAGGACCGGAGGTAGTAGCTATATTACAAATATTCAACTTAGCTAATTTTATTAATCTACTTAAATTAGTCTGACTCTTATATTAAGAATCAAAAGTTGTATCAAACTATATATATAAATATTACTAATTGTTTTGAGGCAAATGCCAATATTTATGTTAAATTTTATTATATTCATTATATCAAATTTTTTTAAGGGTTAATTAATCTGAAAGTCCTTATAGTTTTAATCAATTTTGAATTAGGTCCTTATAGTTTTTTTCTTTTTATCAGGTTCTTATACTTTCATCTATTTTTAATTAGGTCTCGCATTTATTTTTCTTTTTATTAAGTCCTTATAATTTCACTAAAATTTTAATTAGATCCATCTAGTTTTAATTTTTATTTATTAATTAAATATGAACTTAATTAAATAAATTAGTACTGAAATATAAAATATTAATAATTATATAATAAAAGATAAGTAATATAATTAATTAATAAGGAAATTTTTTTAAAACAATTAATTTTTTTGCTAAAAAATAAAATTATTATAATAATTCATTATTTTTAGAATATTATTGTTTATAAACTAATATTACATAATATATACTATTTTATGTTTATAAAATAGTACTATTAGAATTTATAAAATAAAGAATAAAAAATTCAAGGACTTACTTAAAAATAAGGTGATTTTATAAGGACTTTATAAAAAGAAAAATAAATGCAAGGACCTAATTAAAAACAGGTAAAAGTATAAGGATCTGATAAAAAGAAAAAAAATTATAGGGACCTGATTCAAAATTGATTGAAACTATAAGGACTTACAGATTAATTATCCCTTTTTTTAATTATACATGACTATATATAATATTTTTAAAATATTATTATTTAATTATAAACCTACATGTAGTAAAAAAATGATACATGACAAGTCAGGAACATTTATTAACATGTTCAGAAAATTTGACTTTTCCCCCCCTTCGTGTTAATATAACATTTGCTGTGTCAGAAATATTTATTAAAATATAAACACATCTAAGTTACACCCTATATACAAAATTGGAAATGTCGACTTATAAATTAAGAAGCTCCATACAACTTTTTTATTTTGCCATAATAAGAAATTCCTCCAGTTACCCGCAAGAAAACATCGAACGTCATTAATTCATCCTCTCGATCTCCTCCATTTCCTACGTTACTTTTACTGTGAAAATAGAATTTAAGTATTTTTTTTCCACACTTCATAATAACTAAAGACATTTGAATGTGAAATCTTAACTTTTGTTCTTAACATAAGAGTTCTTTTGATTTTTATTTTAATCATAAATATAAGACATCAATCCACTCTGGTTATTATATTTATTTTTTTAAGATAATTCTTATAATAATAATCGTTATAGCCAATACACTTGATTGGTAGAAACATTTTAAAAAAATAATATCTAATTATTATAAATAACTAAATTAACTAATTTGTTAACCCATCTAAATTATTTAATTAGTTCCTGCATTAAAAATATGAGATAATATATAAAGCAGAGGTTGACTGCACTTAAATATAACACCTCCTAATCTTAAATGTAAATCATGGGTGCTGCATTTAGGATTTTAGGTCCGGACTCCGGAGGAGCACTAGGTACTTCCGTAGTCTTTTTTCTTTTTTAAATATATATTTTAATAACAGATAATACTCATGGCTTTCACTGCATGTTTATAAAGTATATTTACTGGCCAAAAAAAAAAAATCCCCCTTAATACTATTTCTGGTTCTATATATAATTTTCACTTTTCAAAAAAGGTTTAATCCAAAATATAAATTTTATTTTTGAGTTTGTTTGGGCATTTATTATTATTTTTTCATCTGTTCTCTTTAATTGAGTATATCTAGTATTCCCTCTTTCTTATTAATATTACCTCTATATATCTCTTTTATTATTTTTTATTTATTACTTCTCTTATTTACTCTTGTAAATTTGAAAAACAAAAATACATTTATAACTTATTTATTAGTTTAAACTAATTTTAACCACTAATTCATTAAATGTGATTCGATTTAAAGCTTATATATAGGATTGGAGAGATGTCAAAACCTAGTTTTACATTTAATTTTATTTTAAATATAAAATCTCAATTTATTTTGTCTATTTTTTAAAAATAATTTTTATAAGAATTATACATTTTAAAGTTTTTTTTATAAACCGCATATTTTAAAGATTTTATTAAACAATAATTCTAGCTAATAGATATAATTAATAAAATTATTTTAAAAAAGATAACATATATTTATGTTAAATAATCAATTTAACTAATTTTTTAATTATTTAAATTAATTAATTAACTGTTATATTTATTATATCAACCTCAATATAGGTTAATCGCAATCTTCAATCACCGGGCATCAATCAGTTAAGAAATAGCTTCGGAAAAAAATTCGAAGAATAAGATCACACTCCGATTCGGTGACCTTTTTTTAACCTTATCTCTCACACGAGCACAGCCTCATCTTTCGCTGTTTGTATTAATGCTTTCTGCGTCATTACAGGAATCCTACTTCGACGATCCCAGTGCGCTAGTAGTGGGCAGTTTAATAATCCTCTCACTAGTCACTACTTTTCACTTTACTTCCTTTTCAATTTTTTCTCCCATTATATTTAAAAAAAACAGATAAACCACCATCTCTAAGAAAGAAGACTAGAGTTGTCATTTGCTGTTGAAGTTACTTCAGTTTCTTCTTGCAAACCCTAAATTATTGATTTCCCTACCAGATGTTTACATAAGAAAAATTGCACTGACGCAAACTCCATTAAAATTTTTATCTTCTCCAACAATTTCTCATCATTCAAGCCAGAAATGGGTGCACCCAACTCTTACCGATTTCACCAAACCGATGATGGACCGTAATCCACTTCAACGGCATTGCTTCAGATGGGAAAGGCCGAAGAAGAACAGCCTTTGCCTTCCAGTGTTGCCTCCGGTGATCCCGAGCAGAATGTGGAGGCAAGCTGTGGGTGCAGATGTTCAAAAATTCGGAAATTCATTGGCTTCAGATGCATTTTCGTCCTGCTGCTATCCGTCGCTGTGTTCCTCTCTGCTTTATTTTGGTTACCCCCATTTGTTCGGTACGCAGATCAGAAGGATCTGGGTTCCGATTCAAAATATAAAGGTAGGTTTTAGTTATTTATTCTCACTCTCATTTTTTGAGTCTGTCGGCAGCGGCATTATTCTATGGGCATAGATCTATTCCTTTTGCGGAGCTAATTTTTGTCTTTTCTTATTCGAAATAGGGGGTCTATACGATTTGTGATATCTGTTTTGCTAGGTCATTAGAACTTTCATACGTTTCAGGGAAAAATGCAGAGGAAAAAGTGAACGATATGATCATCAATTTAAGTTATCTAATTCTTTATCTGACGTTGATTATGCATCAAGGCCAATGACGGGGAATGAATTTTAACAAGGATAGTTTACGTGGATTCGATTTGCTAAAACTGGGAAGTGGAGGCAAGCTCGGTTGTAGTTTCTGATTGGACCCTGCTGCATGAAAAGTCGCAGCGATTTCGGGATTTCATCCTTTATTTTTTGAATTTTCTTTTTGATAAACCAAAAATATAGTTAAGCTGTCTTTAATTAGGAAACTGAGCTTCTCATATCTATTTTAAGTATGGTGTGGGGGCTTTAATATGCATTTGCATTTTAAGACTGGTTTTGACGCCACATTGAACGTTCTGAACTGGACCTCACATAGACTGCAACTTTTTAACATTATTTTCGTTATATTGTGAATGTATTTTGACAATTGGTCACCGTCATCGGAGGGGCTGTCAGCTCTAGGCAGGCGTTTTGCTTCTTTTGAAACATTCATACACTTCCACTTCTATAATGACATGTTTTCCGACATAACTTTTTCTTTTATTTCATTATCAATACTATACATAGAAACAATGTTCCTATTCAAAATTGTTATACTGAGTTTCTAACTTCTAACACGGGCTAACTACCTTGTGTGTGGCGCGGTGGTGATCATCCAAATGTTAGGTTTTGCTCGGTAGATTGGATCTTATGCATTATCATATTATTTAAACCAGAGTAAGCTTGGAGATGTTCCAAAAACCCTTTTTTTGGGCCATGATATTTGACACCAAAAAAAAAATTTGCTTGAGACTTTTCTTCTTGGAAATTTGGTACTCATCAATTTTTAGTGCCTGTATTGGAGGAGAGAGAAATGACATTATGAGGCATGCAAACCTCCATAAGCACTGCTGTGACACTAGACGGGCAACCGTTCTTGTTGCTTTTTCATTTGTCACAAACGCCCTTCTATCATGCAGCCTCTCTATGTGGCACATTTTCACCATCAGAATGTTTAAATTTCCACAAATATATTTACTACTGTTGGAATAAATGAATAAGTTGCAACCATTAGGTGATAAATTGAGGCTAAGAAGTGGAGCTTGGTGGAAAAGGGAAGAGCAATTAGAGTAAGACGTAATCAATGAAACTTCATGGTGGAAATGAGTAAGGCAGAGGCTTGTACACAAAATAATCTAAGAAGCAGAAAAGGGAAATTTTTTGTTGGCAATTCTATTGCCTAATGCATAATTAAGGGAGCTTGAAATAGGGATTTCTGTAAATCTAAAGACATTTCTCTTGACAACATACATTTTCATGGTATACTTAAAAGATGCACTTTATAATTATTCTTTGTTTTTCCTTTAGCATGCGCAACTTCTTTCTCTTCTATGCTATCTGCCATGTTTGAAGTTTGTTTTTTCCTTGCAAGGCAGTGAACTTTTATCCATCTTATAATTTATCATTACAATTTTCTTTGTTTTTCCTTTAGCATGCGCAACTTCTTTCTCTTCTATGCTATCTGCCATGTTTGAAGTTTGTTTTTTCCTTGCAAGGCAGTGAACTTTTATCCATCTTATAATTTATCATTACAATTTACAGTCACTTAGAAATGAGGCATGATATATCTGGCTAAAATGACCCTGAGTGCATCAACTTGTTTACATGTACTTCCCTGGCTTCCTGCATCTTTCTTCTTAACATTGTGTAATAAATCCATGTTGATGCAGATTGAGGCCAATTGTTATTAGCAATGTTAATTAGGGTTTCTAATTTGGAGATTTAATACTTTTTTGCGAAGAAATGACCTTGCTTGATTATTTTCTTGTTTATATCTTTTTTTTATTTCTCAAAAAGTACTTTGCAGCAGGCCATTAATACGCCCCGTCTCAACTTGGGATGTTTTGCTTTATAACTGACAATGAGTTGTTCGGTTTGCGAGTTGATTAAATATTTTGAGCTGTTTAACAATTGTTACACACCTGATATTACATTATTTGTCTAAACATTGTTTCTAATAAGCAAGAATGCAAATGTGTGATAGGAGGCATGTGTGCCTGTTATTTGATTTAATACTATGGATCATCACTCCACCTTTCATGTCAGCCATGGTTATCAACTTTCAGTTGTGTGAACCATGAAGCTGACATTGTCCTCTTCATATATATGTACTCAGTCCAAGTGTTTTAATATGTGATTTTGTGGCCCGGGATGTGTATTATTAGGAATGATTATATGATCTCCCTGCTTAATGGCCTTGTTTACTTTTGCAGGTCATGATATTGTTGCCAGTTTTATTATGAAGAAGCCAGTCTCTCTGCTGCATGACAACATTTCACAACTTGCAGATGACATTTTTGACGAGTTATTAGTTCCCTCTACCAAAGTAACTCTCTCAATAATTTCCTTCTAGGTTCATTAATATCTTGTTTTTTACATAATCACTCCATCCTCCTTTTTGAAACAGGTGGTTATATTGTCTCTTGATCCCCTGTCTGGGTCAAACATGACCAAAGTGGAGTTTGCTGTTGATCCTGATAATAAATACTCTGGAATGCCTTCAGCTTCTGCTAGTTTGATAAGATCATCTTTTGAATCTCTGATTGCTGGCCAATCCGATCTCAGGCTGACTTCATCCTTGTTTGGAAATCCCTTCTCTTTTGAGGTGCTAAAATTTAAGGGAGGAATTACTATAATTCCTAGACAGCATGCGTTTCTTCTGCAGAGACCACAATCACTATTCAACTTTACTTTGAACTTCTCTATTCGCAAAATACAATCAGATTTCAATCAATTGACAAGTGAGTTAGAGTCTGGACTGCATCTGGCATCATATGAGGTCCGTTCTTCTTGTCTTTTACTTGCTTCCCCTTCTTTTATCTTACGTACTTGAGGTCATCTTTAATTTTGAAGCTATGATTATGTTTCAATACCACAAAGTTCATATGCGACCTGTATGAAACTCTTGTATGGGAACCTGTGTGTTGGTTACGAGTCATGCATGCAGAAATAAATAATATATCATGTTAATGGAGTTTCGCTAAACTCTGCAATTGGACCTTGGATGTATGGAGATGTTCCCGTAAACCTTGTAAAGAATCAGATGACATGTTAATTTGAAACTTGTAGTATGGATGAACCATGTTGATTCTAATCGTAATTTTGTAATTGGAATGCAGAACTTGTATGTCATCTTATCAAATTCTGAAGGTTCAACAGTGGCTGCTCCTACAATTGTTCAATCATCTGTTTTATTTGCAGTTGGGAATGGGGATATTCCATCAAGGGAGAGGTTAAAGCAACTGGCAAAAACCATCACAGGATCTCATTCAAGGAATCTTGGCTTGAACAACACTGAATTTGGTAGGGTTAAGCAGGTTCGACTTTCATCCATCTTGCAGCACTCCCTTAACGGTAGTGATGGCAGGGGCACTTCTTGGTCGCCAGCTCCTGTTCCTCTGCCTCACCACCACCACCACCACCACCACCACCATCACCACCACCATCACCACCATCATCACCACCACCATAATTCCCATCTTGTTCCTGCAACTTCACCTACACCAGCACCTGAAACCAGGAAACATGCAACTGCACCAGAAGGGAGGAGTTCTCGAGCTGAGCCTCCTGTTTGTCAATTTGGACATAGAAAGAGGTCTTCCCGAAATGCTGGAAAGCACCCTCATTTGACGCCTGCTGTTGCACCTAACATTGCTACACACTATCCCGTTGCCTCACCAAAAAAACAAGTTGAACCGCCAGGACGTGCTTCTCATTCAGTTCCTGTATTGAGTCCTTTGCCAAATGTGGCTTTTGCGCATGCTGAGCCCCCTCCTAAGACTGAACCAGCTAGAGAACGTTCTAGCACACATTCTCATGAGCCGTCACCATCTCCATGTGAGTATGCTTGATGATCTATTCAATTATTGAACCTGACATGTTCATTCTGAATTAGACGCAATCTGTTTGTAAGAATAGTTTGTATGTCTTGTTTTCTTATTATTTTTCCCTCATTGAGAAGGAAAAATCTGATTGGGCATTCGGTCTCCTTATATTTGGAGCAGGAATAGGAATTGGACTTTTTACTCTGTCCCCTTATATAGCCCTCGAAAGGAAAATTTGCAAACATGAACTCACGATTTCCATTTATCTTCCGCCTTCATTCCTTTGCGAGTGTTTCTTGTAAATTCAGATGCATGCAGCAATTCTTTTGCTCATCTGTTCTTCCTGTTTCTGAGATTGATAAATCTTTTAGGTTCTCTTGTTAGCTTTTGGAACTTGAGTGTACTATTTTGTGTCAGTCCATGTTTTTTATACACTGCATTCTGATTATGCAGCTGATAATAATATCATGTGTTTTGCAGCTTCTGCAGGTACACGTGGGACTGAGAAATGGACGACTTTAATATTAGTAGTATTCTGTGTTACTTGTATAACAAATGACTGAACTGTATTATTCGGGCGGACAAACTAGAGTACTAAGAAAGTGAGCTACGCAAAGGGCGAGCTTCACATCCGAGTGGACATAAGTTGTCATTATGCTTGTAAATAGTTGATTGAAGAGGTCCAGGCAAAGCGATGCATGCATTTTGAGGTCAAAGACCACAAGTGGCAGGCCTTAATGACATGCATTGCCCCTCTATTGTGTATCCTTTTGTGCAGAGATGTAAGAGGGAAAATACGAAAGGAAAAAGGAAGTAACCAAATTATCCTTGTGTTTCTCACCCAATTATCCCCTCCTAATTCCTTCTGTGTGCTACTCTTTACGATTGAAAGGAAAACAAAGTTGGATGGATAAATGTTATTGACAAGCGCAGATTTGGGCTTAGTATGGCATCTTCAAATGCATTACTCTTGCCGTCGCCGCAGCCTGGTCCGAATACACTCTATGGGCTCTTTGTTTCCCATGTCCACTTACTCAACAAGTGTTGATCTAAGTGGAATAGACTTGGACACTTTAAATATCATGTTCTTGGTTCGATTCTTAAGGCAGTGTGTTCGATGTTTAGGACGGTGTGTATGAAAAAAACACTGATTAGTTTCTTACCTTCAGGTGGGAGGATATTTTGGATAATAAAAATATATATATATAAATAATATGTTTGTGTAAAAATACTTTTTTTTTTCAATGGGCGGTTTTTGATTCCTTCTTGGGGAATGTTTGGAAACTCTCAAAAGTATTAAAAAAATATTTTTATATAAATCAAGATAAAATTTCTTTTATATATTTATTTCAGATTCTGTAAAATTATTTTTAAAAAATTAATTCATATACCTTTTACTCTGGAATTTTTCAGGAAGCAGTCAGTTTGTTGGTCATCAGGTGATTGATTTAGTGGGTACGTAGTTACTGTCATTTAAGATTTTTCTTTTTTATTTTAAAGATTATATGTGTAGCTGAGTCTCATCAGTAAAATCGGCATTCGCTTTTATTATTGGTAAGAGGAAAATAAAAAGAGATGGATGATGGGTAAGAATGCGCAAAAAGACCCATAAAGAACAATGAGGGCAACGCTCCCGAAAACGCCTGGCATTTGCGACGCGGGTTAACAAACAGGTGCTGCGGGTGCACGTGTCGCTTTCTGATTGGGTAAAGGGATCGGGTCCGTTATGATGATCAGGAAATGAATGCACAAAGAAGACGGGGAATGCGCGCCAAAAATAGTATTGAGATTGCGGGAGGGAAGGAGGAGGCATAAGAGGAGAGAGATGGAGGGTTTGTGCTCACGGGCTGGAGATAACAACGTTGGGGGTGGGAGCGGAGTTTTATTTCGTATTACTCCGGCGCCGGGCTGCTTCTCTGGCGCTCCCTTTTGCTTCTCGACTCTCGTCTCCCTGCAGGCCTTCGCTGTGTTCAGGGTATGTCCTTTCTCTTCTTTGCAATTGCATGTTTGACAAACTGTCTAAAGCACAAACGGAAAAGAATTGATAAAATTTTCATTTGCTCTTCCCTTTTCCTTTTCTAATGCACATTTAGTAGCATCTAATATTGATATGCGAACTATCGATGAAAGCCTTCCGCATTATTTATTTAGTAGATGTGCGGGAAAAGCGAAATTTTCATTAAGAATGTTTTTAATTGTAGTCATTGCGATATTACATAATCTCTGTTCCACGGAATTGTGGCCATGTGCGGAGGGACTGCGTGTAGCCAGCAACTTCCCTGTAGTCAGGGTTTATGTGTTCTTATGTTTCCGTGCTTCATGCAATCCTATATTCCTATATGTATGTGAGAAAATTTGTTCGATATTTATTTTAACTGTCGTCTGATTTACTGTTTTCTGTTGTCGAATCTGCAGGTGTTACACGGGATCCAAGTAAAATTTGCAGAAGTTAGCCTAGCGATGAATTCAATCGGCATTCAAATTTTATGAAGCAGCATTCACGGTAAGAAATTGGCCGCATATTAACGAGTCTCCATTCTCCTGTGATAAAGGGAGAAATGTTCCGACAATTTTCCAACCATGATATGTCCTTAAAAGTTTGATGGGTTAATTTGGCCGTTGCTCAGAAAAAGTCATCTTTTCTATGATTTGAATCCGAACGCTCTTTTCTATTGATTCCATCTTGCAATGGTATGGGCTTACTTGTTCTTTTCTCATTGTTAAAATCACCGGACTTGTCCTGTCATCTAACTTGTGGAACGTCAAGGATAGCCGTAGTCATTGGTCAAATTTGGCACTAACTGGCGGGTGGAATATCTTTTGTCAGACGCGCCCGGGACTTCCAATGAAACTGATTTGTTGCATATATAAGTCAATTCTAAATACTTTTCCATGTCTCAGCCTATTAATATTAAATAGCAACGTATAAGGCTTTCGAGGTGTTGATCTTTGAGTGTATTTTATGCAACAGAATCTTTTAGAGTTTTAAAACATTCCTTTTTATTTGAAATAAGCATAAAAAAATTTTAAAAAAAAATCGAATTTGACTTCCGTTGTCTCAAGAAACTAGTATTTTCTTGTTTTCTTTTTGGTGACTAAAGGAGAACAGAACAGATTATTCAGGAAGAAGATGTGAGGAGCCTGTTTGGTTCCTACCTATGAGATGACTGGTTCTCAAGACCGATGACGCACTAGAATGTTGTTTTCTTTCATCTATCTTGCAACACAATCATGTTGGTCAGCACATCCAGAAGCAGGTTTTACATGTGTGCTTGTTTTGAATTTGCAGATGTCATCGCCCCAAGAAAACTGATCTTCAGAGAATTTTGTGAGAAGAACTTGACTTGGAATGCACTGCTGCCATTTCCATCTGAATGAGATTGTTTGAAATGGCTGTAGCCATTGATCAACATCATGGATTTAAGCCATTTAGTCGATCCTATGAATGCATGCTTCAACCCTGCGGTCCCCATGATCATAACATTCTAGAACTTAGCCAAACTAGTCATACCTTCAAACCAGCATTTGAAGCGGATAATATCCACCGCAGTTCCTCCACTCCATGTCTATCTTTAACCACTTCAACGGAAGAAGAGCTTGGTTCTTATCCAAGGATTGCGATGGTTGGTGGACGTGGAGCTCCTTCACATGCTCTTGTTGTTGAGGTTGCCATAGCTATGGCCTCTGGTGTTTGCCCTCAACCACTGTCAAAGGGGCTAGGTGGTGCCTATGTTTTCTGCAGCCAAAATGGTGATCGCATTGCTGTGGCAAAGCCAGCAGATGAAGAACCTTTAGCCTTAAATAACCCAAAAGGCTTGGGGGGTCGAATGCTGGGCCAACCTGGATTGAAAGGCTCAATTCGGGTGGGTGAAAGTGGCATACGTGAATTGGCTGCTTATCTCCTTGACTATGAAAGCTTTGCTGGAGTACCTCCATCAGCCTTCGTAAAATTCTGCAATGCTCCCTTTTTTGTTAATGGTGCAGCTGAAGTTCCTCCCACACATTGTAAAATTGCTTCCCTCCATCGCTTTGTTGATCATGAATTTGACGCGGGAGAGTTGGGTCCTTCTTTTTACTCAATTGCGTCAGTTCATCGGATTGGGATTTTAGACATTAGACTTCTAAATCTTGACAGACATGCAGGTAATATGCTTGTAAAGAGAAATAGCCACAAGGGCAATGGAGTTGCTGAGCTTGTTCCCATAGACCATGGACTTTGCCTGCCTGAATGGATGGATGATCCATATTTTGAGTGGCTGCATTGGCCACAAGCCTCAATTCCTTTCTCAGATTCCGAACTTGAGTACATATCCAAACTTGATCCATTTAGAGATGCAGAACTGTTAAGAACCGAGCTTCCTCTGCTGAGGGAATCCTCTATACGGGTTCTTCTGGTTTGCACCATCTTCTTAAAGCAAGCTGCTACTGCTGGCCTTTGTCTTGCTGATATAGGTCAAATGATGACTCGAGAATTTCGTGGAGGAGAAGAAAAACCAAGTGAAGTAGAAAATATTTGTTCGCGAGTCATGTCTAGCATCCCTTATGTTTGCAACAATGGGAGAAGAAAAGAAGAAACTGAAAACGAGTCTAAAATGTTTCAATTTGATAATGAAATTCAAGATGGATCTATTGAAGGGTTGGGACTTCCTCAATTGTTGCAGACCCATCATGGAGCATCTCAGGTACCCAAAACGCGAAGGCTTTCATTTGCAGGATCGATGAATGGATTTGCAGTACTGCCTCCATTGAACGACAAAAACGGTAATCCTACTACAAATATTTATACAGGAAAAACCAAAGAGAACACTGAGAGTCACACTGAGGAGAGTAGAGATAGAAGTTCGAATTTCTCTTCGTGGAGCCAAAATTTTGAAAGTGGCGGCCTTTCCTTTGCAAGGCTGAACCTAACCGAATGGGAGTTGTTTTTGGAGATTTTTGAGAAGCTTTTGCCTGCTGTATTTGAGGCTAAGAAGCGTAAAAAATGAACCAAAAGTTGGAACCTCATCCAAGTTAAGGAATGTTTTCAAAGCCAGAGATGAATCACCATCGCTTGTAGTTGTACATTGGTACCTAGTTTAGGTTTATATATGTTTGCTCGAGTTCTATATCACGCAATAATGGAATAGCGATTGGGCAGGCTGAGAGGGCCAATGCCATCCTTTCCATTTTCACCTTAGCAATCAATATAGCATTGTATACTAATGTTTATGGAATTGGTTGCTGCATTGTTTTGTGTATAATTTATCTTGGTGATTCAAATTAATTTCAAATTGTAATCGGCTACATTCATTTTCTCGTGTTTCCTATAGCCTGCTTGCTTTGCTTCTCTTTCCTTGCTTTCATTATGTTCTTCTTAGTATTTCAACTTTCTTTTTAATGGTTATGCTTTTTTTTTTGGTTGTGAAAGACAGGTACCCGAACTTGGAAAACAAAAAACTAGAAAAAGAAATTATCTAAGATAACCTTGGAGAGTGGGTTTCTTTTCACTCTATTCTTGTCCAGAGGATAATAATAATCCCGGCACTCTTGATGAAAGAACTCCATATTACTCCCAAAATAGTTACGAAATATGGACGAAAGAACAATCCATTTTAGCGTGCCAAATTTTGAATTCCAAATCATGAAATTATACTAAAATTAATAAAAATTAAGCGAAAATAAACATAAATTATATTGGCTAATTTATCCTTATTATAATAAATCATTATTTCGTTCATTTCTATATACATATTTGAAATATTATTTTAGCTAACTTATAGTACATTTACATTTTGAAATAATTACTAAATAAAAAAGTTAACAAGACTAAAGAATTAAAATATATGCATTAAAATTTTTTTTGGGTGATCTAAATGATTTTAAAATATCACCTGCATTTAAATAAGGATATTTGGCTCAAATATGTAACCTAACAATTATTAATGTTTAATGGTTAGAGAGATAAAAATTAAATTTTGAAAGTATAAGGATGTTTGTGTTATGTAATTAATTTATAGTTTCCAAAGCGGCTCATATATACGTTTTAAAAATAAAAAAGAGAGATATGTAATTAAGGAAGTCATTATATTTTACTCTTTTAAAAGACGCATCAATATTATACTAATAAAATAATATTTTAATTTGTTAAATTGTACAAGACTACATTTCATCGCACCCCAAAAGGACGAGGCCAAAACTTGAAAGTGCCAAATTTCTTATACTCGATGTCCAAAGAACGAGAGTAAATTGCGATGCTATTATCAACAGGACAATGTATAAATTTATAGTAATACTCTTACAATATAAAAAATAGATAATTAACCACAAGAGGAGAAATAAGTATTGTGTAAAAGCTGAATGTTTGGTTTTTACTTTTTAGCAGCTAAGAGCTAAAGAGGCTAAGACTGATTATTGATAGAAATAATTATAGTTTGTAAATAGAAATATTAAAGAGAACTAATTCAGAATAACTTAATGGGCGTAAAAGCAGTAAAGACTAAAGAGGAAGAAAACAAGGGCGCACGTGCAGAGTGCAGAGTGCAGTGGCGGCTGTGACCCCCCACCCCACACCCGCCCATCAGCCACGAAATTGTCGGAAACGAAAATTTTCTTTTTCATCTACCATTTCATTGCGATACATGAACAAATCACGCTTATCAACCTTACATGGAAAACCATAATTTGATCTACAGTGGTAAGTTCTTCTCACCGATTTTCGTGGAAAATTGCGTATCATTCAATTCAATCCCTTCAACGACCTCAAATACACCCAAAACATCCGATCCCTCCTCACCTCCTCCTTCCTTGATCTCCAAAATCTCCGAGGGAACTTCACAAGGCAGATCCTTCGTCGTCAATGGCGCCGATTCCTCGATTGAGTGGAAGGATCCGAATTTGGGAGTGACGTCGGATCCACAGGCGCTGAATTTGGTGTCGAAAGTGAAGGACAAGGTTCGATTGGGCGGTACGAAGTCCTCGATCTTCTCGAGAGCCTTGGGACACATCTTTCGCCTCTTGGAATCACGGGAAGAGTCGGGATCTTCCTCGTCGATCTTGCCACCGTCGACGGATGCCGGGGCCGGAGGGTCGTCGTCCTGGGGTGGCGCGAGGGTATGGTCCTCGGTGGAGGTGGAGGTGGAGGTGGAGGTGGAGCTGGCGGTGTTGTCGTCTGCCATTCCGTGGGAGTCAGAGTGGAGAGATAGGGACTCCCGGTTGGCCGGCGATTTAATAATGGGGGCACCCACGAAATTACCATAACGTCCTTCGTTTGGTTGTTGCCAAGAAACCCAGAAGAGTGCGCAAGAAGGATAACACAGTAACTACAGTCAAGTGCGGCTGGATTCGTTAGACTCGTAAGTCGCAACCCGTAAGAAAGATAGATAACGGTCTCCGTAACGATTACTTGAGCTCCACTTGCGTCAATTACTGCTACTGCCAGGTTGTAACTCGTAAGAACGAAGAAAGATAAGGGTCTTTTTTGGCTCTTTGAAATTTGTATGAAGTTTTCATTAGTTATATAAATGTTCAATAATAATAATAATAATACTCCTCCTGTCCTTAATACAGGACCCAATTGGTGAGTTGGTTTTGGTCCTAAATATAAGACCCATTTCTCATATTTATCAATTACCTCTAAATTACCTCTATAGATACCCTTTCAATCATAATCAAGTAGAAGAGAAAGATGAGGTATTAAGAAATATGATTATGGTATTTAGGAAAAACGTGTCATATTTTTATAATTAACTAACTTACCTAACTTCCTTAATCTAATCAAATTAGTTGAATGGGTCTTATATTAAGGATCGGAGGAGTAATATATTTGGAAATGCGCGACAATGTAAGAAAGAAGGATTGAGGGAATGGGGAAGGAGCAAAAGATGGAAAGGTTTGACCCTTTGACCCAAAAAAATACGGAATGAAAGTACCACTTTTGTTTTGGCCAATGAGAGAAGAGTCACAATTTGTTGGCACTCGACAGCGAATTGGAGGGAGGGAAGCCTCACGTGCGTCACAGTCGCCCCTCGCCATTGTGTGTTTGTACTGATTGCATTTTCCCCGTTACATCCGGCGATTCCTACCTTTTCAGGAGACTTTCTAATAATTTTTCTTGGGCAAAACAAGACTATCTAATCATTTTAAGGTTGAATTGCAATTAAGTGGTAAAATATATGAACTGATTGATTGCTCTCTCAATCTCTTTTTATAAGATACAAAATTTTAAATCTCTCCTCTCTTTTTTTAAAAAAATAAGATTCACTTTGGAAATAGCTAAATGATAAAGGGATTTTTATCAATTTTATTAGTAATTGATTTTTTTCCATACATTTTTTCACTATTTTCTTTTTTATTACTCTCTCATTTACCCATTTATAAATAAGGTTATGTTTTTTTTGTAAAAAAATTACATTTCTTGTATATTTATTGAATCTAAAGGCCTTTATGGACAGTTTTGAATATAAACGAAGAAAAAAAAAAAAGAGCCAGAAAAGCTCACACACACACACACAAACGAACAGGAAAGCTAATTTTTTTAAATCTGCCAAAAGAATGTCTTCCTTGTTTATAAAGGGTGATTACTGGCTTTAGGTGTAATGAAAGAGCCTAGGTGTAACATAAACCTTATTTTAAAAAAAAAAAATTTGACATATTTTTAGAACATGTAAGCACGCCCAAAAAAAAAAACTGTCTATCGTACGAAACACAGGGAGTAGCATAATCATTTATATGTGCTATGTCCAATATTGTTTGGTGGTCAGTGTTCAGTATATGTTTCCTCGCTTCCTGCACAACAGCATATGCGTCGACGTTGATGATAATTATAGATAAACACATATTAGGGAACTCGTCAAATCAAAAGACCGTACTTCATTCTCCCCCCTAATACTTTTCTCGAAAATCATGAATGGCAACTATTTCAAATCCTTTTAAGCGAATTGAACAAGAAATTATTTAAGTTCAATCATCCTCCCAATTTCGCAGCAATAATCACTGGTGTTTTACTGTAGTAGTAATTTATAAGGCTAACGTACGTCTATAAATTGATTAATGGTCCCAATGTACATAATGATTAATATGCCCTTCGTTATATAAACCTTGACCAACAATATCCAGTCAAACTCATAACCTCTGACCGGCTTCCAGCCATTAATTAACCGGGTGCCTATAAACACACCGACAAACACAGTACACATATTATTTATGCCAGAAGCCACGCAAAAAGGGGGGAAAAAAGAGAGAGCGATATTTAAAATTGATTGCCCACGTGCATAGTCAATAACGTTTACGTAAATATTTGGTTATTTATGAACAAGTGAGTACTGATCCTGCCGCCCAAGTGAATCAGTAGATATATTTCAAAGCGTGAACAAGCTAAGTGACGGATAATTAATTGGGATAATTAACTGATATATATATATGGGTTTATATGCGTTTAAAATTTTAGGAAATGCAATACTAACACTGGATACTGTGTATCAAAATAAAGGACTAATTTATAGAAGTCAAGGATAACTACCAACTTCATCATTACGTACGTAATATATGTGTGTGCTCGCGCGCGCATGTATGTATAGTCTGCCATATCACCCTAATGCATATCTATAATATCATTATTAATTTGGAAACACAAAATTAGTAAGATACATAAAAACCAATAAAGCAAAGGTGCCATAAAAAGCAGGGCATCAATTCTTAGATATACATACAAGATCCACACCCCTATACGCATATATAACTGAAATTATGTATAGCAATCCAACTCCCAAACAAAAACAACACCAGTATATATATACTCCTCCGGTCCTTATTATAAGACCCAATTTGACTTTTTATTTGGTCCTAATTATAAGACCCAATCCATTTTGTCTCTTATATTTATGTATTTTTTTCCAAGATAATCCTTCTAATAATGATAGTTTTAGCCAATATACTTAATTAGCAAGGATATTTTAGGAATGACAATACTTATTTATTATAAATAACCAACTTAACTTACTTCCTTAATCTCCTCAAATAAGTCAATTGGGTCTTATAATTAGGACCGGAGGAGTATATATATATATATATAACGACAAAACGATTGAGATAAGACAATACACTATGTCGACGCATTTCACTGCTTCACAACTAAAGTAACACCGACTAGTATAAGATTTAGTTTGTAGTTCAAACTGAATTACAGATTAAATCTCATATTAAGGATCAGTAATATGATTAATTGGCCTGTTAAAGACTGAGAGACAAGTCGAGGCCTGATGGTGTATCATGAATGCTTCCCACATATGAGTTCCTCTCGAAGCCTCCAACATTTGCACTTGCACCAGTGCCTCCTGATTCATCTGGCTTTGTGTTTGCAGGTGAAGAAGAGCTCTGAACATTATTATTGCTTCTGCGATTTGCTCTGCGTTGAACCGCTCCTTCTTCAGCCCAGGAGCTTCTTGAGCCGAACCGGAACGCCTCTAGGGCCGAGTTGGCTGGCGCTTGCGAGCCATAACGAGCCACTGGGCTCATGTGGTGATGAAGCCCCGGATGAAAAGGAGGCGACGCTGTGAAGGGAAGACCAGCCATGGTTGAATAATAAGGGCAAAAGTGAGGACCAAAGCGTCCAAAAGTGCCCATGTCAAGCTCTTTGTCAATTTTGCTGAGTACACGCTCACGCCTGTGAGCATTTTGGTGTCCACCCAGAGCTTGAGAGCTATGGAACTTCTTGCTGCAAAACTTGCAACAGAATTTTCGCTGCTGATTATTATTACTGGCGTCCGCTCTTTCTGCTATCTTTTCGTTGTTACAATCCTCGGATGGTTTTGATGATGAAGAGGGTTCGCCCACCATCAGCTTCAGAGTCAGTAGCCCCTCTGATGAGTTGGCCTCCATGGAAGGTGGCTCTGATGATTCCTCACTCATCTTGCGCTTAATAAGCTTCCTGTGCTCAGAATCGCCGAGGGATACTCTATCTGACATCGTTGTGGTCAATATCTCAGAAGAGAAAGAGAAGGTACTTGTGTATGGGTTATGAAGGAGAAGGGGGTATTTATTAAGAGACTGAACAACATTGCATATTTCCATGGAAGGAAATGTATATATCTGTGTTGGACCAAGTGGAACGCATATATGCCTTACATAGTAAGGTGTTTAAGGGAGAGTTCGCGGGGTCTTTGACATAAGGATTAAGGAAAATGCTTGGGAAACACTTCATAATATGTAGATAATGTTGTCTACACACATTACATAAGCACCTTAGAATTTTTGTTCATGTATTTAATTGATATAATTTTTTGTTTTTTTTTTGGGGAGGGGGTGGGTGTGTTTAGACTCTATGTTTCCTTATAGTCTGATTAATTACCGGGAATGTATTTTTCAATTCATCGTGTAATTTTTTTTTCAAAAAATTAAAAACAGCACACTAAGTGTTGTTTCAATTTTGGATTAAATATCATTTTTGCTAGTACTTTAAAGTTAATCTAGAATAAAGAATTACTACTCCGGTTCTTAATATAAAAGCTAATTTGACTTGTATTTTGATCTTAAATATAAGATCCCAATCTATTTTGGTTTTATATTTATTTATTTATTTTAATTTATATTTATCTTAAATATAAGATAGTTCTTGTCCAGATAGTAGTTTTAACTAACACACTTGATTAGTAAAAATATTTTAAGAAATACAACACCTATTTATTAAAAATAACTAAATTATTTTTTTTAATCTACTCAAATTATTCTACTAGCTTTTATATTACTCCTAAAGATGAGAGGTAGTACTTATTTATTTAATTATAATATTCTTGCAAACATGACCAACACCGTTCGTTCATGCAACTATCGACCGCATATGCTTCATTATCGTTCTTTGAGAAAATTAGTTATGTTTTACGTATACTGCAGTAATAAATTTTAAAAAAAAAGGACAGATTATTATCTATAACTAGGAAATAAATTATGCTATAAGAGAAAACTAATTATTGGCTGCCGAATATGAAATCAAATCATTAAATTGTCACGTATAAGTTCAAAGGCTGGGCGTCAAATCAAGCTCTGGAGTTTCAGTACGGCGGGAGGAATGGAGCTGCGAATTTTGAGAACATCTTATTACAAAACTTGCAACGAAAGCTTGAGATGCTAACTTCTGCAGGTTTGGAAGGTCTTCAAGGGCTGATTAAGAGCTTCCTGGAGTTTTCGTCTTCACGATCTGATCTCTCCCTTATATATATTTTTTGGATGTGAAAACTGAGATTTTTTGGACTGAAGTGAAAACTCAGCTGAATAATGTGAACTGATGATGATTTAGGGTTTTAATTGAAGTGATTCATGGCCTTGAGGCGAATTCTTATGCGCACTTTATCAATTTAGTTCCTCTTGACTAATTAATTATAGACTGGAGATTGAAGGTCAGGCTATGATGAATTTATAATCATGCTGTAAGAAATTAAAAAGTAATTTTTTTATGCCTGAGCCTGTGATGATACGATTTTTTTTTTCACCTGAGTGATTATACAGATAGTAAAATAAAATACCTTTATTTTAACTTTAACATATTAGTTAAATACATTAGAAATTTTGAGCATAAAAATTTTATTTATAAAAATATAAACTGTCACAGTTTTTTTATATTTCCGTATATAATATTATGAATATTTTTTATATGACTTTGTTCGGCCTGAAAATATTTTCCATCCGATGACAATGAATCAATTAACATTAGCTTCCATTTTAAGGCCGCCACACGAGTGTTGACTGCTGACTATTGACCGTACGGTTATTTTGCAATAGTTATTGATATAACGGAAACTTAATTATTTATTATTATTGTTTGTTTTGCCGACGAATGGTACAGATTATTGGAACTGAAAAGGAACGCGGTTATGATTGTGGTTTATAATTTTTTGGATGAAACACACCTAGTTAGCAAGGACTCATCATCTATATTTTATATCTCAAAAGAGATAAGTTTAAAGACATAGAAGCTTACTATTACTTACAAAAACGGGAAAAAACAAAAACGGGAAAAAACAAAAACACTTCCTTATTTATTTTAAAATACAACCATAGAAAATCTTACTATCACCCTAATAGCAAATGGGCGTCATGATACATACAATCTTGACTAGGTCAAAATATACATAATCTTGTGCATTTTAAATATTTTATCCCCAGAATTGCCATCAATGATAAACATGTCAGAACATCTCACTTCTTCACCATTTTGACTGCCAATTATACATAAATTTAGTGGTTTGCTTGGTTCAAAAAGTATTTAATTTAAATCATAGTCTAATGAATTTGATGATTTTATGAATCCACTTGACATAATAATTCTATACATAGACATAATTTTGAATTTTCTCGAGCCATAAGAGAAGAAAACTTCTTATACATTTCTAAGGGGGGTGTATTGTTTATCTATCCTAATGAGCTGTTTCCCGAATCGTTGTAATTAATGTTCAATCCCAAAGAGAGGGGAGAGATCAGAGAGTGGGTTTAAATTTAGTGGCATGTTTGGTTCAATTCCATAGATGCATCTTGCTAATTCAGACATTCAGCTGACAAAATAAAATAGTACTATCTCTAATATTTAATATAAAACTTCGTTTGACTTTTATTTTGGTCTTAAATATAAGACCCCAATATACTTTGTCTCTCATATCTATTCATTTTTTCCCAAGATGATCTTTATAATAATAATTGTTCTAGCCAATACACTTAATTAACAATGATATTTTAGGAAATACTATAACTATTTATTATAAATAACTAACCTAACTTATTTCCTGAATCTACCCAGATTAATCAACTAGTTCTTATATTTAGGATCAGAAGTAGTACAAGTTAATCCTGATTACAACGAATCAAATAATCCTCATTACATAACTTTGATTGCGTAATCTGGATTCAAATTTACATGAATCAACGTACACACATCTATAATTATTATGCCATTACATTTTATTCCCTAGCATTACGTTCCCTGTGGTTCTTTGAACCAAACGGGCACTAGGGAGAAATAAAAATTGACCCCTCTAAGGTCTACCTACAGCGTAGGAAGTACGGATATGACACAAATAAGCGCAAGGCACCACGTTAATATAATTCTTAGGTGTCCTAATAAATTCTCTCTGCTGTAGAGACAGGGCGCAAGAAAACCACAATGACCGTAATGTTATCTTTGCTACCTCGTTCCACTGCCTCGGTAGCCAATCTCTTTGAGCACATTCCTGGCTCTTTCACTGTATCTTTGATTATGCTTATAACTTCTTTATTGCTCATCACATCCCACAGTCCATCACTCGCCATCACCTGATCACAATCTTTTCATTACTACCTTTCCACAATATTCATATCACAGTATTGCTAGAAACAAGACATTTCATGACACTCCTTACCAAATATTCATCGTCTGAGGATAGAGTAGTTTCAGTTATCTCCGGTTCTGCAGTTACAGCCGGCTTCAGATCGTCATCCCCAATGGAACGTGTAACCTGTGAACAAGAGAGTTAACTTCACTTGCAAGCAACTGATCATGAATGTATCAGAACTCGTGATTCACAAATTGCTGGTTTGAAGTTTGAACAACATGCCTGGAGTGCAGGAAGGCCAACCCTCCAGGTATCAACTTGCCAGCGAACTTGCCCTCCATTACGAATAACACGCTCTCTCTCTTCAGGACAGCTTGCCACATGATCCTAATTAGATACGACCTGATTAGCGAGAAGGGTGGTATTTAAAGGAATAGAGCTGCTTTTAACTCACTTTGCTTAGAGCAATGGGAGAACCAGCGCGGCATAAGATTGTCCTGCAATCACCACTGTTAGCAACAAAAAGCTTGTTTCTGACTACAAGAGTGACAACCGCTGTACAGCCAGGATGCCAGTCCTTCTGGGTGACTCTTCTGGATTTACGACAGGAATCAAGCTCTTCTCTGAAGGCATAATCTGTTTTAAGGAATGCCTCAACGAGTGTGGTAGCTGGACTGCATATTTGAACATGCTAAGGCAATCTATCCCTCAATATACAGGAACATAACTTAGAAGGGGTAAAAAATAGAAGGGGGAGAATCTCAAGTGAAACGTACCTTCCTATAGAACCTAAAGCTTGCAGGAATCCTGGCAAGGCTTGAGCAGAAAACTCAGCAGCTGCTGCACCTGCATGGGGTGCCAATTTATTCATTAAGATCAGCTTGAAATTGCCTTGTTCAAAATTTTCGGGGTACTTTGATATTTCAGTTCTCTCAAGTTAACTTCAATAGGGATGCCGAAGCCAGGAGTTCAGGCAGTCTCGCATTAATTAAAGTGAATGGGCTAGATGCTCTTGTAATAATAATATCCTAAAAGAATGCGGATACTGATACTAAAACACTAGCGAATACCTCTATGGCCGTCAAAGATGCCAAAAGCATGTACGTCCTTTTCATTGCACATGCTGGGAAGAATGAAATGTGTGTCCTCCATGGTCTCCCTTCTCGCACAGGTAGCATAAGATCCCCAAGAAAGTGTTGGACAGTGAGCCAAAGGCTCATCAAAAGCCCTATGCCAGGTTCGCAATTTAGAATCAGTTCCACTGGAGGATCTCTTTGAGAGAAGTTCTCCCAGGGTAGACCAATTAATGCTCTCTTGATAAGCCTGAAGGTGATTATTGCTCCCGTCTACAACCTGATTGTCACGCAACTTACAAGGTCTGAGGTGTCCATCGTCACCGTCCCTTCTGCGCTCAATGATGGAATCAAGCTCCTTAACTATATCATCAAAGGAAGGTCTATTTTCAGGTTTTGCATCCCAGCATCTCTGTATTAATGCTAATAATCTTGAAGGTACACCCGACTCCTGAGCAGCAAGGACTGGCCTTAATCCATCAGAAACAACAGCTGCTGTTAGTTGCTGCTCTGTATAGTTCATCTCGAGTACTGTGTGAGCCTGCCAGCGCCATATAAAAATAATAATTAAACAAATTGTGACAGCACGCATGTTAATAACTCAAAATAAAATATTTAGATAAGGAATGCTTCCAATATGCAGAACAAACAATTCCGACATGATAACTAGCAATCCCAGCAGAAGTTTTAGTTTCTAACACAAAATGACAAAAGCCCATCTTAGAAAAGGACACAATTCCGCTTTATGCTCTTGTAACTTAAAGGTTGAACGTTTCAAACGAAAATAATATCATGATAAAGGCAATATATAATTCATATGGCAAGCTCTAGCAGGTTTTACTTTCTCACCGATCCTTTTGTAAAATAAGCATCACTTGATCATGTACGGAAGTGACCCTTCCTCTATGATTTCTTACTCCAAATAGGGCCATATGCAATTACCCCATCCAAGAATCATTCAAACCTCACAGATAACAACTTTCATTGAGTTATAAGAATACAGACAATATCCAGATTTGTTTAAGGGTGAATTTTTTCGGGATATATTTTTAAAAATATACGTAATGAAAATACTTACTGTCAAGTTGACATAATCTTTTTTCACAAAACAGAAACCCCAACTAGTCTTATCAGTGACCCAAAGTTCCCTTAAGAATGATGACAAGGAAATACACCAAAATTCTAGAAAACAAAAATAGGGCAACTGCTCATCTTCACACATTTAAAAAAAAAAAAAAGGAAAAGAAAAGAAAAGATGCAAAGATAATGTGAGCATGTCATATAACATACAGAACGTGACATGATATTGCAAGCATAACAAAGTACCCATGTAAGAAATAGGCTGACCTGTGCTTCTGCACGAAGATCAGTATATGGTACAACACCTGTAAGGAGTTCGCTGCAACAAATACAACAGACGTCTTATGCAAAGCCGAAACTTGATTAGAAAACAAAAACTATACATATATGCTTATTAATTATGAGTTATGACCAAATAGAACCGCTCAAGCATCAACTTATTTGGTATCATGACCAGCTTATGTGGCAAAGTGAGATGTCAGAATTAATACTTTAAGCAAACTGCCATCTAGCATTCATAAGCAATCTTGCATTCAAATTTGATTTCCTGAAAAGTTATGTTCTACTCTGTATCTTTATGTAAATGCACTGGTTGAAGAAACGTAAAAAGATGTGCTAGGAAGCCAAACCTTATTCCAGACAGAGGGGGGTTTGGATAAACATATTTTAAATCTAAAATGCATTTGTAAGACTTGAAAACCAAACCACGCAATTTATCAAGCCTTAATAGCTAACCACAACTAGTGAAATTATGTTACCACATTTCTAAAATAGTAGATGATGAAAAGCATCAGATATAACCTGGCAACTGCCTTGAATTCACTTAGCTTTCCTGAAAAACAAACAAAATGGAATGATAGAAGTGATATTGTCTCTTACTTGATCGTCACCCCAAAACTGTAGACATCTGATTTTTCTGTGTGCAGCTCCTTCTTTAATATTTCAGGTGCCATGTAAATTAGAGTTCCAACCATATTTTTTTTATGAAAACCACCAGTCGGCTTGCCAGAAGACTTCCAATTTTCAAGAGAAACTCTCTTAAGGTCATTCTTGTATTCTGCCAAACCAAAATCTGTGAGGTGTGGATAAAGATTTTCGTCAAGCTGCATCACAGAGACAAAATGGTTAGTTGGCTAATGCATAATTACAGCATAATTCTGTCAAATATTAAAACAACACCAAACAACTTAATGATCAAAAGATAGGGAGAAATTTACAAGAATATTTGCTGGTTTCACATCTCTATGTAGTATCCCAAGGTTATGAAGATACTGCAAAGCTTTAGCTGCAAGATAAGTGATGGGAAGGAAAAGAACTGTCAGACTAGTTATTCTTGTACAATTTCCTTGCATGAATACAGTTTTCAAACTACAATGGTTGGATAACAGTTTGATGCAAACGATCCCCTGTCTACATTTGAAAGTATTTGCCAAAATTATTTAACCTTTTCAATTCCTTTATTTGCCCATTTCGTGAATATAATTAAATATATTTAATTGAGTTTTATAAAGGAAGCTACAATGCCAATTAACCAATCAAATTTGCAAATAGATTTATATGCTAGTTATCAAATTTTGGGCTGAAACGTCAAAAGTGAACACCTACTAGGCAATCGCCTTTTCAAGAAAACACATACGACATTAATAGCTACTGTAGAAAAGTAAATGCAAAGAACTTACAAAACTATTTCTAATGTTCTATTTAAACTTCTGTTTGTAGTCCAAAAAGTCCAAGAAATTTAGTGTCTTGCTATTTGGTAAAAGAACTGATGAGGTAGATCATAAGATAAAACCTTCCAACCCATATGCTGATCTGTTAAACAACTAATTGAGATAAGGATGATTTATTGAAAGTAATTTCTAAACAGAACAAAATCTTAACTATACCTAACTGAATTATTATCATAAGTGCGTAACTGACACTCGGGGTCCATTCTTCCAAGTGTAACTTTTGTGCAAGGTTGAGAGATTCATAGAATTTGAAGAAAAAGAGGTAATTGGGCGGCTTTGCATGAGCAGCAATTAGCGTTGCTATCGCCGGGTGATCTAACTTGCTGCATTATTTAAGAAAAAAGAAAACTGTGAGGTGAAAGCTGCATGCTTAATAAATATGATTGGAGATAACAAAATCTTTTAGATGAGGGTAAAGGTCATAACACGCTCCAAACATGCAAAGACCCCAATAGGATTATACAAACAGAAGATGCTGCGTGAGAGAGAGACCATAACAGCTGTAATTCTTTGTGGAACTTGTTGATATCTTCCGTAGTTGACAGGATAGGTTTCTTGACAGCAACCTTGTTCCCATCTAAAGTCCCTTCGTACACAAGACTCTCCGCCCCTATGATTGCCATTATAAGCAAAGTTACAACTTATTTTCAATAGAGAAACACAAGCACGGGCTGAATTAAAATGAGCGGCAGATCAAACATCCAAACATGCCCCATGTCATCACTCTCATGACAGAAATGTAAAGTCGCAACTCTTTAAAGAAAAACTACAACTGACATTTGGCTCAAACAAAGAAGAGCTAAACGGTTCAATGATCCAAAAGCGAAAGTAATCAATAGGAATGTTCATGAAAAGATACGCCCTTCTACAGTATCTCTCTCTCAAGCCACTCCTAATTCTTTCTCAAAAACAAGAAAAAGTCAGAACTTGGGAAATGACAGAAGCTTAAAACTGCAGAGGCTTTACCTTTGGCAATTGGAGCTAAAAGAGAATAAGAGGAAGGAGGAACATGGAGAGGAATAGAAGAGCTGGAACAGCAGCCCCTAATGCACGTGTTGGGCACCATAATCTCCAAACCCATCTCTTTCAGAGCTTCTTCTCGGGGCTGCAGGTAGAAGATGAGGAGGTGGGGGAAGAAGAAACAGAGAATTTAAAGTTGGGTGAGAGGCCTGGCAGAGGAAGAATACAAATAGAAAGAGACAACGGAAAACGGAAGAGCGGGGTCCGTTGTTGTATTATGTTTTTGGTGATGGAAATTTCGTGTTGCAATTGTTTGTGGCCTCTGTTTGGCCGCCTCATGCCTTCTCTCCCTCTCCTCCTCCCCATTCGCCCAGCAACAACTGGTCAAGAAACCAACAAAAGTAGACTTTGCTCGTCATTAAAACCTGAGATAACCATATGACAAGTGCTCGTATCAATAGCTTTTTATACATCTCGAGCTCATTTAGTAAAAAAACTAAGGATTTTTTTTTGCCAAAAAAAAAACTGAGGATTTGAAACACTTAATTTAAATGCGGGTATAATAGAATAACAATACAGCCGATATTTTTATAATTTGTGAATAAAAATGTTGTTATTATTAAAATATATAAATAGGATTTATTCTCATTTTTTGTAATAAAAAAATCCACCGTTCACGCGAGTTGTTAACAAGAAGAAACGCAATAAATTACCTCAAAATCAAATAGTAGAGTGCGGGTGGCTTTTTCTCCTTCTGGCACTATTACGTGACCATGAATGTGATTAAAAGGCAAAAAAAAAAAACTGCAATAAAATCTCAAAAGAAAATATAACAACTAAAAATTTTCAATAATAAAAATGACAAATTTTTTAATTTGTTATTGAGTTTTTTTTTTGGTAGTTATTTTCTGGAGAGAATTATAATCAGATCCTCAGAAAACGATAAAATTACCTTAAAGTCTGTTAACAAGTTAGGCTGATCATTTGTCATTAAGACTTTTTATAATTTTTTTTTTTTTGAAACCTCTTCATAATTCTCCCTATTTTCTTTGGTTGGGAACTCATCATGATTCTTCCAAAAAAAATAATAATGAGGTGGAAATTATCGTGAGGGTTGACGTCATCCGAAAGCTGCCAGTCTCAATGGGAGATTTTTAAGGAAACTGGATTGTTTTTTTTAACGATGAAATATGAATCTAATATTTTAACAGGCGAATCATTTTTTCTGTTACTAATATAAATATGAAATATAATTTTCTGTCTCCACATTGTGAACTGGAGATGACTTAATTGTCAAATTCTTCAGGCCCAAAAAAACTGAATCTACTACTCTTTCAGTCATGACTTAACTAGCCCAGTATCAACGTGGGTTATAAAAGCAATTATGAAGCCCATCAAAGCCCAATCTACAATTACAAGGACCACTTTCATAATGCAAGCCGACATAATCAGATTTTGGGCCTATGAAAGACCCTCGGCCTTTCTGTCTTACGAAGAAAACACAAAACCGCCTTAGCAGCCAAGTTCGGAAGTTGCGAAACCGGTATTCTAGGTTCCATTTGCCGTGGAGAAGAACTGGGCGGCGACAATGAAGCTCCCTAGCTTCTCTGTTTTTTTGTTATTGCTTGGTGCTTTCCTTATTTTCTGTGGGTTTTCTGAATTTGTTTATTGCACCAGAGGGGACGAGTTCATTGGGATGAAATTGGGAGGGGTTCACAATATAGAGGGCACTCATAACAGCGCTGAGATCGACAGCCTTGCTCGTTTCGCAATTGAAGAGCACAACAAGAAAGAGGTATTGTCTTTGATTTTATCTATTGCGATTCTTTCTCCCGAATGATCGAATCATGAGTTTTGATGCGTTAGCTTTTCGATTTCGCGGTTCTCTAACTACTGACTTAGGTCGAGGGATTCCCGTTTGCGTTTTCTTCTTTGTTCGGTAATCTTGTTTATTTTGTAATTGTTAATTGAAAGTTATCCCTTTAGGTTTCTTCTCTTTCACCAAACAAACCTCCCCCCCCCCCCAAAAAAAAAGAAAAAGAAAATTCCTCTTCTCCCTGTTTCGTTTTGAAATACTATTTATATGAACTATATTGAGATATTAGAAGTAGCATCATTTTTTCTTGTTCGTAAGCTGAAAGAGAGAGGAGAAATAAAGATTTTTTTAGTGCTTTTCCTGAATACCGATTGATATACTCCCTTCTTCATTCGTATCCAATGAAATCGGCGGGTGGTCGTGTCATAGCCTGCCAACTTAACCCTCCCCCTCCCAGATTATTAAATTAATTGTTCAGCTGCAATCATGATTTTTATTTATTTATTTTATTTATCTGAAATCAGAATTCACTTCTTGAGTTTACGCGGGTGTTGAAAGCCAAAGAACAGGTGGTAGCTGGTAAGTTATACCACCTTGCGATGGAAGCAAGTGATGCGGGAGAAAGGAAAATATACGAGGCCAAAGTCTGGGTGAAGCCCTGGATGAACTTCAAGCAGTTGGAGGAATTCAAGTATGCTCAAGACATCTCTCCCTTTACAACTTCAGACCTTGGTGTTAAAAAAGGTAACTAGCTGATTCTGATTTCTATATCTCTTTTCCTGGCAGTAAATGTAGGTATTATGCCATGTTTGTTCCTTGTGAGTTATAGCTAGTGGTGGGGGTTCCTGAAAATTTTCACAATATAATTGACATTGTGTTTTAGAAATTAAAAATTAAATGCCAAGCATGCTCCTTTTTTATTTAGTGTTTGTGTGTGTTTTTATAAATATGAGAGGTATTGTGTTTCTCAAAGTTGGTAGCCCTTTTGAGATGGACACAGATTAGGATGGCATGATGTGCCAATACATGACCCTGATGTCAAAGATGCGGCTAGTTATGCTGTTAAGTTTATTGCCCAGAAGTCCAATTCTGTCTCCTTACCAACTTCTTGAGATTATTCTGGCTAAGGCCAAGGTTGGGTCCTGGTCTAATTCTGTTGATCACATTCTTCCTCTATTTAAGTGTGCTGTCTCCCTTCTTCCGATCATTACTTGCCTGCATTGTCCTTCATTTGTACCTACTGTTTTTCGGTTGTTGCTAATCTCTTCCTTATCCCCATGCGTTGGCTTGATGCAGGTCGCTAAAGATGATGTCAAATTTAGCTTGCTTCTGAACGTTAGGAGGGAAGTTAGGGAAGAGACGTATAAGCAGCGAGGGGGAGGAAGGTTCTATTTGAGCCAGATGCAGCAAGATCAGTCCTGAATTGATTAGGATTTAAATTGGCTTTTGTGTGGAATGTTGCTTCTTTAGTCTTCCCCGCGCATGAAAACTGTCTTTTATTATTAAAAAATAAAATAAAACTCTCAATGTATATAGACATTACAAAGTACACTCATGTAACGTTCTCCATATGTAAATATATACTTAGTTTTGACTCCATGCTTTCCCGTGATTTTTATCAATGTGCCATTTTATGACATACAGGAATCCAACCGATATTGGCCATTAGTCCTTCATGCTGTCACCCCACATCTGAACAAGCTACAAAACAATGTTGGTCGCTGCTGCACTGGAATTCAACTCTGTTGTTTCATTTCATGTTTTGCAACTTTTCAACATTTTATATCAATGCAAAATTTAGAAGGAGACAAATGGAAACCAATATAAAGGATGTCCCTGCATCCTGATACTGACTTATAATGATAGTGCTGGAAAGCAGCAAGGGTAGCCAAATTCACAGGGTTATATCTCGGCGGGCACGCGTTTATACAAGTGAGAGGGTAGCCTGGGGGTGGCCACGGCCTGTAGTGAGGTCCTCATGTATGTCACCAACCCGGGGTTCTCTGACATGTCAATCTCCTCCGGCCTCATTCCTTCCGGTGGTGTCCAACAGAAATGGTGAAGTAGGTGACCCAACATGGAGGTCACCAGGTTGATTCCGAGCTGCGCTCCCGGGCACACCCGACGACCCGCTCCAAAAGGCAACAGCCTGAAGTCATGACCCTTCATGTCCACGTCCTCCTCAAGGAACCTCTCGGGTCGGAACTCCAATGGGTCCTTCCAGACGGCCGGATCACGAGCTATGGCCCACACATTAACGTGCACGTTGGACCCTTTGGGGATGTCATAGCCTCCAATCTTGACGTTGGCATTGGCTCTGTGTGGGAGCATGAGCGGAGTTGGGGGGTGCAGCCGAAGGGCCTCCTTGGCGACACACTGCAGGTAAGGAAGGCCAGAGAAGTCGGGCTCGGACATGACCCGTTCAAACCCGATAACCCGGTCCAACTCCTCCTGCGCCTTCTGCTGCACCCTGGGGTTTTTAATCAGCTCAGCCATGGCCCACTCCACCGATATCGCGGTTGTGTCCATTCCTGCAGTGATCATGTCCTATACAGAACAAAGAATAAAGAGATTAAGACTAAAATCCATATCGTTTTTTTCAGTGGGGCATAAAAATGAAGAAACCAAGCTTCAAATCGAAGTAATAAAGAAAGAGAAAGAAGAGATACCCAGAGAAGACCGATGATGGTGTCTTCGCTAAGGTCATATTTGTCCTGCAAAGTGAGGAGGGCGTCAACGAAGTGTTGCTTGGCGCCGCCAGAGAGCTTACGAGCCTGAGTGTGCTCTTCCATGATGGCTCTGGTGAGTCTGTCCCTGCGAGCGCCGTGCTTGGCAAAAGCCTCTTCTTCGAGAGGGAACATCCAGCGGAGCCAGGGGATGTGCTCGGCCATGGCGAGAGAAGCTCCCAGCTTGAGGCCATTGGCCACGATGGCCTTGAACTCCACTCCTTGTTCGTCCATCACCCCCTCTGAGTTCACAAATCTCTTTCCAAACGCCAGCCTTGTTATGTTGTTGAATGCCACTGCTCCCAGGTACTTCTTCACCATCACGCTTTTCCCTTCATTTTCTGCACCGCCAATTTTCCATCTCCATTCATTTACATTTACAGTGAACAAGCCGAAGCTTGTGAAAAAAGCGTGAACTAGAAATAAATCTTTTTCATCCAAATCAAACTTCTTTTTCGTGAAAGACGCTGACTTTTCACCAAAGAGTGCAGTAGGTTTAACGTGATAAACAAGTCCAGCAACTTATCACCTAAAAAATAATAAACAAGTCTAGCAACAAGGTCCAGCCAACTCAGTTGGCCCCCCAAAAAAAAAAAAATCCCCACCAACCCTGCCAACCCTCTTAATTTTTCTCCGGTAATAATTGTTAAATTGTTTTCGTGGCCATCTTAGACGGTGGGAGTACAGCCACACCCAAATAAGTAAATTAATGGCCTCTCAATTTGTTCAGATTATTCTAACATACAAAACTTTAAGAAAGAAGAAGATAGAAATTGATGCATCGGCTAGCAGAGACAGATGATAGGAGTTTTGGGACCTTAGTTTTCCAGAACATTGTATATAACTGCTTCTTTTTTTAATAACCATCATTTGATGTGTCTGAGTAGCTTAATTCAATGTTTGATTTTGATGGGTGGGCTGCTTTTTTATTCATCACAGGCTCCCTTCCTTAAACGAAAAGAAAGACTACCTACAAAGTATGAACTAAACAGGGAAGAGCATTTACGAAAACAAGATAAGGACTCTCAATATGGAGCAAAAGGACAAATAAGAAAGGTACACCATCCAATATGTTCAAAAGTTTAAGGATTGCACGTTTCCTTCCGGGCGATGAGTCATCGCTACAGATGAAGCATCAATATCTCCTAAAATACTTAGAAAAAAATCAAGTCGACTACTCGCTATTGACTTGTCTTGGTTTGGACAAGGCATCTGAACTTTCGATTCACATGTATCAAAATATACACAATATTTAACGACAAAAAGTTTAAATTTATATCCCCTTTCCGCTTCATATCAGACTATTAGAACGGGATAAATATATATATAATTTTCAATCACAAAATATGACATCATGAGTATGATTTAATTAAAAACCATAGAATCATGTATGAAATTTATACACCTATCGTTTTTTATTATTTCAACAGTCCTGTATTTATAATTTATCACCATAAAGAAATGAAGAATTTCGCTTTAATTTTTTTCCCTTTTAAGGCGAGAAAAGGCTAATTTCTTCCTCGGTCAGGTCTCTTCTGGGCATTGGATAAAATTCAATAGATAAACTTTTGCAAATCACAACTTGCGAGCAACTCAACAGAGGTGTTGTTGTATACATATATTGATGTCGATTTTATGCCTTCGATCTGATTGATAAAAGCCATTATTATACCAAATTTATGTATTACTGTGTCTATAAATGAATGTTGATTGATACCTGGAATCTAATCGGCAAATCAAACATTGATGAAGTTACAGTGTAAACTATCCCTGCTTCTCCACCGGAGAGGAGAGAGCAAAACAAAACGCAATGGAAGAATTTAGAATTTTGAAGGTGAAGAAGAAGACTTTAGAAACATAACGAGGGGGGAAAAAGCACTCAGATCATGTGGAATAACAAAAATTTGAAAGAAACGCAAGAATTAGCGAGTGACGAGGGCGAGGAACAGAGGAAGAATGAAGGAAGTAAAGGGGCAAGACAAAAAGCAAACGTACCTGGATTTGTGGAGTCCCTGTATATGGACTCAACCATTGCGGTGACCTCGTCTTCTCGAATCGGCCTCAAGGCTTCGAGGCGCTTGGGAGAGAAAAGCTCGAGCGTGCAGACCTTTCTGACCTTCACGTAGTGAGGGCCGTAATCGGCCCATATGAGATCCTTGCCGTCTCTGCTAAACTTGGCCGCCGATCGGCTCCTGTGCCTGTCGGCCAATTGCTGATCGTGCTCCTTCAGCACCTCTCTGGCCAGCTCCGAGTTGGAAACTATGACGTTCAGGGTGGAGCCGAACCACACCGATATGATGGGACCATAGGATTGAGCCCACTCTGCGAAGCAGCGGAACCTGACGGGCTTGATGTCGTAGAGGTTGCCGACGACTGGCCAGGGGCGTGGGCCCGGAGGCAGCCTGAAGCGCAGGCGCTGATACAGCTGGTAGCAGAGGAAAAGGCCGAGGATTGAGATCGATATGAGAAGTAACGCCATTGAAGAAGAAGAAGAAGAGAGGAAATTAAAGTTGAGAACAGAGGCAAGGGGTCAGCGAGAGGTTGATATATACGATGACAGGGGAGGGAGTTGGTGAACTGAATTATGGATTATTGTGTATATAAAAATAATGAAGGCTTGTTTGGAGAATTGAATGAAATGAATGACGCGAGGACGAGAAAGGGAGGGAAGGCGAGTGAGGATGAGTTACTGAGTTGGTGGACTCACAGAAATTGGAAACCCAAACTGTGGGTGTCAAGAACCCGGCTGTGTTTTTATCATTTGAATGTAAATTAATTATTGTTGTTATTTTATCATCCTTTGTTCAAGTTAAAAAACTCCGTCATAATTATAAAAGATCAAACTTGCAACCTCAAAAAAAAAAAACCCTAGATTTAGGATTCTTTTTTTTTTTTTACCGGATACTGTTTGGTATTAATATTAGGGAAAATCCCAAAAAAGTGACTACTGAATTTCAAAATGTCAAATCAAGAATTACTACAAAAATGGGTTGTCATTTGCTCTTTGAATGTAGTTATTTTCTTTATGAACGTAGTAACAAATACTGATTTGAAATTTTGAAATTCAGCTATCACTTTTTTAAGATTTTCCTTTAATATTATGAATACACGAGGGTCGCGTATAAAGAAATGATGGTCTATATATATATATATATATATATATAAGAAATTATGTTTGATGGAAGATAATAGATGGAAGGTGAGAATAAAGAAAGGAGGGGCATAATGGAGCGGTTGGTGAGGGAGAAGGGTGGGGACGTTTGATTTGAGAAGCACCGCAGGGGGGTGGATTGTGGATGAGTGAAGAAAGAAGAATCAAGGGTTGGCGATGATGTAGACCCCTTTCGTTCGATTTTACTTTTGTTTTTTAACATATTTATATATCGTACATAAATGGGTTCTTATTTAATACTCACCGCCACCATAAGCTCCATGCGGATCGTCTTGATTGGTTTGAATTTAAATTTTTTATGTATCACTTTTAAATATGGAAAAAAAAATTTGGTGCTTTAATTTTATAAATTGAATTGTTTGTCATTTATTAATATTATTATTCTCAAGTGATAATATGTTGCTCTAAGTATTCTTATTTTAAAAATTTAAACTTAGCCAAAAATGTATATCTAGTAATTTCAGCATTTTTTAATGAAACTAAATGTATTGGAATTACATGAATCAAAATACACTTTATAAAATTAATTGGTAGTAAAACTTTGTATAAGATTAAAAGACTAAAAGTAAACTGTTATTATTCAATTTATTTATTTATGTTAAAAAGACAGTTATAGTTATAAGATCATTGTTCTTTCAGATGCTACAACTATTAAAATACAAAAAATAATAATTTAAAGTATACAACTATTAAAATAAAAAAATTAAAATATGCAGATTAAAATTGGTATGAAACATCTGAATCAATTCGTTGCTCCGACTTCATCACCAATAATTCAAGCTCATAGCATAATGTATGATTCTTCCATAAATTTAACTGGCCTTCAGACTAAGTGAGAGTTGGGGCGACCAGCATGAATATGCCAGCAGGATGATGAACCTTGTGACGGCACACCCCCCCACCCCCTACCCACCAAAAAATGAAAATAATAATTATTTTATCCTGTGAGATTAATCACATGCATTGTTGAATTTTCAGCAATATAAGTTCCTTTTGTCGAAATTTCAAGTGAGTTGCACCGATTTTTTTTTTTTTACTAAAATATAATTGCTTAAACTTAACAACAATAGCATATCGTTAAACTGTTTGGCGAAAGAAATTATAGATAATGACAAATTAAATAACGGACTAACAATATGGTCGGTGAGATGGTGAGGGTTGAACGTCAAAGGGCAGGACATTTAAACGATGTTGCAATTATTAGTATTTCGGCCCAGAAAAAAGTAGCGCTGGAATTAAACGGTGCGAATGCATTGTGTTGGCGGCAAAATTCTGTTTCGAGAGCCGCGGAAATTACATTTAAATGAAAAGATGCCATCTATTATACAAATTTTTATCAGGACACAGTAAACAATTTTATCGAGTAGTTGGCTTTAATTTGTGACAACTTTTGTCCCCATGTTCCATGAATTATAAAATTTTATTTTTAATAATATAGGGACTAAAATTGTAATTTTCTGGGTCAAGACATTAATTTTTTCTAAGAAGCCCCTCTTTTGAATGGATTTTTTTTACCTGAATTTCTTTGGATGGCTCAGACCGTGCGTGTGTAACTGCTTCCGGGGATTGAGTGAATTTGTGATCGAACGGGATGGTGTGTGCTTAACGTCAGTGACCAAACTCCTAACATTTTAACACACTAACAGGTCATTGCGTGTAGTAGATGCTCGGGTCTAAGTCACACCTAGGAGTCATGTAGCATGTGGCGAAAAATCAACAAGGTTGGCTTTTTGGAGATTTGTCCTTTTGTCGGAAATAATACAAATTATTATTTAATATTAAATGTAAATATATCCCTTAATATGAATTTGAATCTTGGTTTGTAACGTAATGAGAAATTAACCCCTTATATTACAAGTAACACTATTATTGGCGAAGGAAAAAAGAATGAAAAAGAAACAAGAGGTACCATAACTAACCAGAGTTAGGTCTGGCAAAATGTGTTAATCCATTATAGCACACATGATTGGAAAATATATTATATAAAAATCAATACATATTTATTATAAATAACTAATTTTAATTTTTTTTTTTCAACCTCACATGACAAGAAATTTTTGCTCTTACTCATAATTTCTCATATTTCAATATTGACGTTATCTTTAAATCTTATTCTTTTAATTTTAATCATGTTAAGGTATGAATGTTAAATGTTTGTGACCAGTAAGTACTTTCATTATGATCATTTTAATTCCGCCAAAATAAGAATGTCAAGTGTTTGTAACTTGTAAGTATTTTTATTATGAACGTCATTTTGTCTTTAGTAGAAAAAAATAGTTTTAATAATTTTATTAATAATCATAAATTAATTAATTGGAGGGTAATGTGTAAGACCCTTTCCTCAAAACATTATAACTCATCAAAAATCACTACTATGGTAGAAAAGAAAAATCTGTTAAATGAACTACCATAGTAGGAAGAAATTTGCATAATTTTGAATTCACATTTAAACCTTTGCATGCAACTGAAATCGTTCATTCACATCTACTGGGTCTCCGAGCCTCCGGTCCGGGTAACAAAACACATCACATCAGCCCATCTAAAAGATTCCCAACAATGTAAATCAAAGTTCTACAAGTAATAAAAAAGGCCTCCGGCCAATCAAAAGCGAGAAGATACACTTCTGCCGGTTTACCATAAACAGGGCAATCAAAATATTTCAAAGAACCCTAACTGTAGCAATATACAACCGATCATACATAGACAAAATCAAGAGGCCTAAAGCTAACCAAGCTCAAGCCTCTGCGTCTCTTCCCAAAGGCGCACGCCTAGAACCTTCACCTGAAAACATTATAAACCACGGGATGAGACAAAGTCCCAGTAACCAACCTTTCCAATACTAGGTACTACTAAATAGGTGCTCGTGAGGTGTCAAGTGGGGCAATTCACAAATAATATATAATGATAGCCACAACAATTCATGCAAGTGCAATAATGCAATCCCATCAACCAAATCCCTCACTTTGGGGGATGTTCAGGAGCCGAAGCCGGCCTATCCCTCACTATGGGGGACGTAAGGAGCCATAAAAGGCCTATCCCTCACTCTGGGGGACGTAGGGAGCCAAAAGGCCTATCCCTCACTATAGGGGACGTACTAAGCCAGCCATCATGCATTAATGGAGGCCTTACCACGTGGTAGTAACAGACAAAACTCTCACAAATTCCCAATCAATGCATCATGCTCAAATCATAATTAAAGAGTAATAATCATTTCACAATTAACCTCATTCAGTGGCATATCTTTCACAATTCCAAAATTCATTCATCATTAGTCGAAATCCCACAAGACGGTTTTCCTTTTTATACACAACATACAGTTTGAACATAATTACTATTTAAAGCACAAACCATAAATCTACTCACAATACCACAGAAGCAAGTACTAAGGATTGGAAAGTGATTACCTCTCGCCTGAGCAAGGAATAACAAACCAACGATGTGGCCCCGTGCACCACCAATACTCACAACCGGTCTACACAAGCACACAAACACACAACCATTATACATTAGCTTTCAAACTAATAATGTGGCCAAAACAACACTTGGGGGCACAAAATTCCTATCTCCCGTCAAAACTCTACCCAACTCAAAGGGTATAACTATCAAAACAACACTCCAAAGTCCTCAAAGTCTATTAAAACATCAAGTCTCCTTCCAAGCATCAATTAGAGTTCAAACCTCGAGGACCCACTATAGGAATTCAACCTCCAACATCCCATTTGAGCAATTAAGGTTCCAACAACAAATCTAAACCGATTAAACATCCAATTTAATCCTCCTTAACATAACCCAATTCACAAAACTCAAAATCAATCTCTACATTATCATCCTCAATCCCAAATCACCTATCTCCATAAACCCTAACTCCAAAAACTCAAGATTCTTTAAATCCAAGGAAACTACACCGATTAAACACTTAAACTAATCCAAAGCAATCAATTAAACTCAAAACAATCGGTCAAAAACCTCAGTTCCATCACAACTTGGAAAATCCTAGGGTTCCACCAAAAATCCTCAGAAATTCCAAGAAATTTCAAGAAAGAAAGAAGATTAGAGGTTAAAATCACTTACTTGAGGTAATGGATCCTTAGAAATGTCTTTCCCAGGCCTCAAAACCGAAACCCTAGCAGAGCTCCTCTCTCCTGCTTCAGATTTTTCTTATTTTCGCACGCTGAACCCTCCCGCGACTATATAGATTCGGGACCTTTCGCCGCGGCGAACTAATCCCGAGAGGGATTACTCGCCTGAAAACCCGACTTCGCCGCAGCGAACTCCAATTTTCGCCGCGGCGAAAGCTTCCCGAGAGGAAACTCTCGCTCGCCCAAAAGAATCTTCGCCGCGGCATACCCCTACCTTCGCCGCGGCGAAACCTTCCCGAAAGGGAAGCCTCGCTCACCAAAACA